CTGTGTTGTCAATCTTTGCTAAATACCATGTCCCTATAGGCTTCAGTAAATCCGTGTACTAGAGGAAATAACAAAGGCATTAAAGGATTTCATGTGGGCAACAAAATCTCGTATTTCCATCAATATCTGAGTGACTTCCAAAAACATCCCGTTGTTGCATATGGGACAGGGTCATCTGATTAAAAGAATGTAGACAAATCTCATTAAGTTGCTTTTCTGACTGAATAATGACTCAAATTTCATTATGAAAACCATTCCAAGCATAAGGAAGTGCTGTATTCTGTAATAGGATTTGTTTTCATCTTTTGACTTTCTTGTAAAAATGAACGTCTGTGTAGAGGACAGCTGGCATTATTTAGTGTTGTAGAAGATAATCACTGCAGGTGGCTCCAAGTTCGACGGGCACCAGCAGCATCAGAGATGTGGAAAGGGGAGGAAGTGAGCGTAGGCACCAAGGTCAGGGAAGGAGGGGCAGCCCTCGGGAAGGCCATGGGAGGCAGACGAGGCCCTGCAGCCCATGGAGCTTGGTGGTGGAGCAGATACCCACCTGCTTATTCACATTGATTTATTTTCTTTTAGTATAGGAAGTGATGCTACTTACTTATTTTAAATAATGCTTAATTTGGCAGAAAAAACGTTTAGAGCTCATGATTTTTCATTGTTTTAAAATCTCACTTTAACGTCTAAATTTCATCCTGATCCCTTTTTTTCCCTTTTTTCTGAAGGATTCACATCTGCTGCTCTCAAGATTTTTTAATGTGATCTGACACCTAATATCAGTATATTTATTTCATAGAATAATTTAGTGTTTGTTCCTAACTTTTCTCTTTTTTTCTCCCTTCTTTTCTGTTTCTATTATTGTCATAAAAAGATTTAAAGTCCCTATTGGAATAGTGTGCAGAACATAAAACACAAAGCACTTCCTGAAAGGTAATTTTCCAGGAATGAAAAATACAAGAATTGTGTTTGATAGTTCGCTCTTCTGTCATTCACTGTTGCATTAAAACAGCCATTTTTCTATAACTATGAATGGCCTGAATCTTGAAAACTGACAGTTATACATGAAAAATCCTTAATAACTTGAAACCAAAACCCTTACAAAGTTCCAGTAGGCTTTCCAATGAATTTGAATACAAGTTAGAGTGCAAAAAAGATGGTGCGCAAAAGAGAGATGCATGAAGTTAAAATTTCAAGTATGAAGTGCGCTTTAGGAGAGGCCTTACTTTGGTCGGCACTACTGCAGTTATCTCAGCTGAAATATTATTTGTCCTCAAGTGCATGTGTATTCATGTAACATCAGTAATAGCCTCTAAATGAGGGGGTTTAGGGCTCGAACCCGGGATTTGTTCTTCCTGGTTCACAATGGGCAGTTTCTGGGTCTTACAATGTCAGACCCTCAGTCTGGGCAGTAGCTTCCTGCAGGTTCTCTAACTAGCACCGGTGTGATTGGGATCTGTGACAGCTCCTGTAATTTACTTATTGAATTGTGTGTGTGTATCCATGTACTCATAAAGACGTAAATATTGTATCTTTACTTTCTGTTCTGAAATGCTTGGGTTCTGTACGGACCTCTGGAAGCAAACTCCTGAAACACTGAGCTGCGTTCAGTTGAGGTGATGGGTGAGGGAGGGCAGTTGTGTGATGGAGATGTGGTGGCCCGGTGCGTGTTCCTGTTTCAGCCAAGTACTTGTGGGTCGTTTGTAGAGAGAGTTGAAGTGCCCCATAGTAGTTTGTGCAATCTTGCTTTGCTACTGAATGCTGTAGCCGAATTGCTTAGAACTTGACCATGAAATAACATTTCGGGCCAAATACTCCTTTCTTTGGTCTCTCTGTTGACATGACACCACTTGTAGAAGTCTCCCTGGTGACCTCTGATGCTGTAGCACCAAGATGAGCAGTGAGCGAAGCAATGCAGTTTGAAATGCAGAGCCCAGTTGCTGCTGTGGCCTTGAGGAAATGGCCCACAACTTGGAAAGGTGATAGTGCAGAGCGCTAGGGTATGTCAGATGTCACCCTCTAACAAAGCAGACTCGTTGGGTTTATTCTGTGGTTTTCAGATTGGCTCCGAGAGCCCGCTGAGATAAGCTGGGTATGAGTCTGTCCTCTCTTCAGCATGACAGACTTTACTTGTATGGTTTGGTGAGGACGCAGCTTTCAGAGACGCTGGAGAGACTGCAAGGCTAGAGAGGAGTCCTCGCTGGTAGGAGATGCGGGATGGACAGGGAAAAAAAAGTAAGAGTAAAGAAAAGAGTGGCCCTTGAAAACGCAGGCAAAATATAACTCATTTGTTAATCTAACTTTACTCTTGGCACCAGTTCGCTGTTAAATATGGACATGAGCGTGCATTCTGAATTCACTGATGAATTTCCTGGGCTGTTGTTACAGAAACAGGAGCACTTGTTCCGAGTGTGATCATACCCGGCCCAGTCCCAGGGAGCTGTGCACACTGCAGCTTGTCGAATCTTCCAACTCTTGTTTTAGTACGCGTGGCAGGAAGTGTCATCTTAATTAGGGCTAGAGTGTGACATTCAAATGCAGAAGGGTATTTATCTCAATGTATCTGCAGTACTGCTGTGTGACTCTTCTGTTTAAGCATGATAAAGGGACCAGTAAAGTAGGTCTTGTATATCATAAATCGCACTAAATATTTATGATGCAAAACTCCACATATCACAACACATTAAATGGATGTCATTGCAGTCCCTGTCTGATTAGGTAACCATATGGAGAAAAGTAATATCTCCATAAACAACCAGCAAGGAATGCAAATCCCTTGTGAATTTTCTTAGAGAATTTTCAGCCTCCCCTCGCACAGGATGGGTACGGAGTTGCTTTGCCTACCTCAGACTCAGTGAAGTAAATTCTTGCCAGATGCTGACTTCATCAGGATTATAAAATGTGGTACACCAGTGAATTCAAGCAATTACATTTGTACAGCATGCAAAAATATAATCATATCTATCTGTGAGTCTCTTTAGGATAGGATATAGAAAATCATTCCTCCTTTTGAGTACGGTGATCTGCGTTAGTTTGATTTTCAAGGGCACTTAATGTAATGCCAGTCACATTTAAGTGGAAAGAGGCACCTTGACACACCTCTCTGTGTTAAATGTTTCCCTTTGGAGTGAGCCACTTCCACAGCCCAAAACCACTCAGCTGGTGACAGCATAAAATACTTTGTGCCTCACTCAGATTGCCTGCTGGGGAGCTGAGCTGCACAACAGCACGGCAGTCCCTAGAGAAGCAGGGGCTGTTGTTTCAGGTGCTGTCAGTAGCAACCAGAATGTGAAGCCACGTCACTAAATCTGGATGCCACTTGTGAGGAAATTGTGTCCTTAATTTCAGTGGGGCTGGGATTTCATCCTTTGTGTCTTGTCCTCAATGGCAAATTTAGTGGAGTAACAGTGGGTCATTCTGAGTCCTCTCACTGAATGGTCCTTGTAAAATTGTCGCTGTTCTTCCTCAGACCTGTGCGTTGCTGCCTGTGAGGCACTGAAAGCATTGATGGGAGCCTGGGATTTCCAAACCTCTCCAAAATCTTATGACATTTTTGTTATTTCCTAGAAAGCATGGATTTAATAAAGCCTGCAGGGACACAGCATTACTGAAGACTGACAAGGTGGAAATTGGCATAAATGTTCAGTAGTAAAATGCTAAAAATTATGATAATGTTTTATAAAGTATGCTGTGAATATAGTTTAGAACATTGGATTCATTTGAAAATCATCAGGATCTCACAGCACACACACGGTGCGTATTTGCTCACACAGATATACTGAGTGCTAAGTGAGAGATACCTATTTGAAATAGAAATAAAATCAAAGTGTGTTCTCATTATTCTGTAATCTGCTAGACCCATGAAGGTTTTTAGACTTACTTCATATCATAATAACTTACATTTCATCTAACTTAATTTAAGTGGTTAAATCACATACATATTGCCCTCAGCTATTCCTCTTTCTCTGATACTGTGTTCCCTTTATCTGCATATAGGCTATTTTCTCCTCTGTTATCATTTGGCTGCTCTGTACGTATTCAGTACTTTCTAATCTTCCTTCATAAACTGATCTCTTCTGACTTACTTTTGTTGCGGAATTTTCTCACAAAACTCACAAACTACTGAAATAAATCCCAGTGTTGCTAAAAATCAATAGGAATTTCTCGATTTTTGACAGCAGCAAGTAGGATTTGGCTCAATTAGAAGAGCTGCAGTAAAGGAAAAGCTCATATTCAAGAGCTCCTGTGCTCACGTCTAGGCACAGGAATTCAGAAAATAAGGCACCAAGGCTTCTACATGGCTGAATGAATGCTGGATCCTGCGGTGCGATTCGGGCTGAGAAAGCTCCCTGCCTCGCAGGCTCTGGCCCTGCAGAAACCGCTTCTCCACTTTTGTATCACCTCAAAGGGGCTGCAGGAAATGGGAACGGTGCAAAAGCAGATTGGAAATTTCCTCTAAGTGGGTATGAAATCACAGTTTGCTTATTCCACCGTTGGAGTGCTCCAGTAATGCTGTTCATATCAGTGTATTTCTCTGTGGTTAGCACTGATCCCTGTTAAGTCTGCAGCAACTGTCTAAGGGAAATTAAATTCAGAGAAAGAAAGGAAAATTTGGTAGTTAAGGCACTGGACTGCCACTCAAGAGAGTAAGGTTTAGTTTCCACTTCTTCCACAGGCTTTCTGCATGACCTTAGGTGACTCATTTAATCTTTCTATACCTCAGTTCCCATCTAAAAGGAGGCAATAGTGATGATGCAGTTTTCTGATGATTCTGTTGCTGCTTTTGTTTCCATTTTCTTGACAGTTCTTAAATTATTTGGTATTTTTGTGTGTGTGCATGTGCATCAGGTTGATTGCAAAGCACAGTGCTGACAGCTGTTGAGCTCTACAGGTATTTCTGTAATAACATTAGTTTTTAATAAAACAACAAATGGTATTTCATCAATTAAATGAGCTGATACGAAGGGTGCAACAACATGAAAAATGTGTGATTTTCCTTTCCTTCCCTTTCAGGAAATGAGAACAGTGAAGCCCTTCCAGAGTCTATCCCATCTGCTCCTGGAACGCTGCCTCATTTCATGGAGGAACCAGATGATGCCTACATTATAAAAAGCAACCCCATCGTCTTACGCTGTAAAGCTATGCCAGCGATGCAGATTTTCTTCAAGTGCAATGGAGAGTGGGTCCATCAGAATGAGCACGTGTCTGAGGAAAGCATGGATGAGACCACAGGTAAGGTACCGTGTCCTTCGGGAGACAGATCTGAATGCAGCGTCTATGGACCATAGACAGGCCAGAGCAAAGAGCAGAGATCGCAGTCAGGGCCGCACAAGCAGGAGAGTTGGGTGGCGTAGCTGGTACTTCAGGCTTGCATGGAGCTGGAGCGGGAACGGGCTCCAGTTGAGAAGTCCTACAACAGCGTCCACTCTGGCCTGAGCACAGCCAGGAACCGCGGTGGGAGGGCACGGTGTCAGCCCAAGCTTATTGCCCAGCCACTGCAACAACGTGTCATTTCTATGGTGCGATTTGTGGTGGGAATTGGAAAGAGGGAAGCATGCTTTGATGAAATTCCTGTCAGGATGAACCCTGAAAACCCACCAGTGTGGTGGTTGAAGTTTACCTTCGCCCCTAGGCAGTGCTAGGTATGTGGCAGGTAATAAAGCTAAGCAGGAGAGATCCATGGTGTGTACCTGAAAGAAGAGAATGAGAAGGGAGAAAGTTGAAAATTACCAACAGATTTTATCATGCTCCCAGTGCACCCTATAGCTTTTCTCATTTAGAAGTATCTTGATAAGTATTGCAAACCAATTTAATGCTGCACTGTCCCGAAATTTCACAATTTTGTTTTGTTATTGCGTTTCTCCTCTCTCTAAATTCCAGCATTGCTAGGCAACTCCATGTCTTGGAAACAGCAGCGTATGCATAACTTCCTCTCTGTCAATACGAGAAATTCCTTTTTAGAGGAAAAAATGCCGTTTAAAAAGAAGTTCCATCTCCTAAAGTGGTGTTTGGCATTCTCTTTAAGTGACGCACTCTGAAGGAATTTCATACTGAAGGTTTTTGGTAAATGCTAATCTGGATGAATTTTAATTTTTACAGTTACCTTTTCAGAAATAATTTAATAGGCATAACCTTTACTTCTAAAGGCATTGCTGAATCAATATAGAAGAAATGTCATCCCTAAATGTTTTTCTTCCATATGGTTAATGAAAATCTGTCTTGTGAATACTGCAATTATGTTTTCTAAGCTTTGGATTAATAACAGAATAAAAAAAGATAAATTAACATTAGGTGGTTTTTTAAATAACACCAGAAACATTGAGGTTTGAGACACGGCTTAGCAAATGGGATCTGGAATATAAATGTTGCAGGTTTGAATTTAGCCCAGGCACAAAGCTAACCCTAAAAGTACCGTTCTCTTAGCATAAGTGTGGTCCAGACAGTTCAATGTGTCTTGAGTGTCCTGAAAACTGCCATCATGGTCCTTAGGACACAAAGATGCGGGTAAAGGCTATATATGGTGTAGTGTTGAAGGACAGGCATGGATATCCTGTCACTATGATGTATCCATAAGTTATTTTGGCACTCTTCCTTAGCCTTCAGCAAACAGCAGACTATTGGGGCTTTTAGCATTAATGTGTGTACAGGCAGTGCCCTCATTTCTGGAGTCAAATCTGGGGCACAAACATGGCTGTTAGCAAGCGTGCACAGTGTTGTGTGTGCTGTGTGGGCTCCATCTGTGAGAGCTGCACTGGAATTGCTGCCAAGATTGGTGCCTCTGGTTAAAGGGTGCGATTGTGGTGCGCTCACTGAAGGGAGCTGCACTGCGTTAAACTGTGTCTGTCCTTCTCTGTCCTTCCACTGTTGGTTATGTGGCTCACATCCTGAGAGGATATCTAGAAAAGTGGTGAAAAATAGCAACGAGAAACCCAAACAAGAGGAAATTTAAAGCTAAATACAAGAAATGTATCTTAGCATCTCTATAAATTCCTGCCAGCAAGCTCTTAGCCAGGCATATGTGAGGAGTACTTGGCAACGGCACTTGAAGGCACGCTGTTGTGATGGCTTTACCTACAGCACTGTGCTGTGTGCTTGGAAAAGGACGGGCAGGACAGCTGTTGTACACAGCGGCTGCATTTTGGCACTGTGGTGAACATGGAATCCAATTTTGCATGAGTTTGTTTTTATAGGACAGAAATAAAAACCTTGGAGTAGCCAAGAGTTGCTGTTAACTTGAGCAGGAGGAGCAGCAGAGGAAGGAGTTTTGTACTTTTGTACTTCTTGTATTTCTGGCCTGCTCATGGAAGGGTCCTGGTGGGCCCGAGGGGTTTGCACTGGAGCCTCTCCCTTGTGGGTTTGCTGCTGTTTGTGCAGAAAAGCAGTGCAGGCGAGCGGACACGGGCTGCAGTGACGATGGACACGGGTGCCCATGTCTGCGTGCCACAGTCAACTGGTTGGTTAGAGACCCAGGTGTCTCATCCTCTCCTGCCGGAGAGCCTGAGCTAGGAGATGCTACTGTGATAAAAATATAATAATTACGGTTTGATTAATTTCCTCCTGGTTTATTTTCCTTGCCTGAGCATTGCAGCTTGCACCTCAGAATTAGTTTACAAGTATTTCAACTTTCGGTTTCTCCAGAAAACCAGACCTGCTAAGAGTAACTAGAGTCTTCTCGTCTGATAGATAAAAGGATTACAGCAATAACTGCTGTCAGTGTTTTTCTCATTTAAACAAATAAAGCTGACAAATGCTGAAGTTCTGTGCAGCTCTGTTATGTTTAGTACATGGAGAGCAATTATTCATCTGCTGCCAGCATTAGTCTATCTGCAGCTAAACCATCCAACAGTGCAGAAAGCTTATTAGCATATCAGTGCCATAGTCATAATTTTATATTCTGTAAGGCTGTACTGTATAACAAAAGATGATGGTTATAATTTGCACAATAATTTAAAGGGTTGGACTTGCAGTGCTTATTAGAGTTATACAAGTCACAGGTAAAATGTTGCTCTTGTTTATCATGCGCCTGTTTTTATTTGCATGGATTTTTCATTCTGTGTCATTTCCTGTGAACAATTTTTCTGGCATTTCTTGAGATGCAGAGGGTAGGTGAGTATATTTATGGTGAAATATAGCGATGATAAATGAAGAATATATGCCTCTGTTCCCAATAGGTTTGCTTTCTCTAGTTGTTTCTAAAACAAATGAAAAGAGGTGTGCTTTCTCCATAAACAAAACATAGCTTTCCCCAAAGACAAGGTGTTCTCCAGAGGTCCCTTCCAACCTCAACGCTTCTGTGGTTCTGCTATTTTGGATGCATTTATTTTGTCTATTGGCAAATTGGGAGACCTTTAAAAGGACCCCAATTCCTCCCTGTCCCATTCTCAAAATGCTGAACCACCAGCTTCTCAAAATCTTGTGCTGTTTGTTTGCCTGATTCAAACCACATTAAATGTTGCTGTGAAAATATAGGCTGATCTATAGGTTAATTAAATAATGTGTCGATGAAAGGAAGAGCTGGGCTGGAGAATATTCTTCCTTAATAAAGCCGAAGCTGTAAATGCCTGTACTCGCTGACAACCGCTTGGAATTGTGCAGTACCAGTGAGCCTAGAAATGGCTTCTGCTTCTCGAAACAATTCCTGACTGGAGATGGGCTGTCTCAGAAAGGCCAGTGCTTGCCAGGGACTCGGTGGTTTTACACCCACGTTGAAGAGGTCTAGAAGTAGATGGGTTGCAACCTTGTTGGACGTGGCTGCAAATCAGCTTGGATTTGGAGGCTGTGGAGCTTTGGTGCTTTGACTGAGCTCCTTCAGGGACTGCACACAGCTCGGTTTGCCGTAGGTCACAACAAGGAGGGTCTGTTGGTCAGTGGCACACAGCGTGGGGGGATGCCAGAGCTTCGGCCAGTCAAGACCTGCTGTGTCAGCTCCCCAGGACTCAGATGCTCTCTAATGGAGCTCACTGTCGCTGCTCTTATCTTTAACCTATAAAGATCGCTCTACAAAGTGGTTGTGTGACTGGGGATCCAAGGATTCGTTGCTGGCAGAGCAGCTTGGATGTTTGAACTGAGGTGGTGCATTTTCATCGTGAACTTCACAGTGGTATGACAGCAAGGAGAGGAGTTTCTGACAGAGCGGCTGAGTTCAGGTGCTGGGTTTATTTCGTAATGACTTGTGTTCACTGTGGCAGAAAATAAAGGGATGTTTTGTAAACAGCTTTGTTGAAAACTACATCAACGTGTTTAATATAACAAAATGCAACAGGAATCCTCTATTTGTTTATTACAGAGTGAGTAAATATTTGAGTGTCTGAAATGATTATTGAGACAACTTAGGAAGCTATCACAGGTTTGTCTAGGACTTTAGGTGAAGCATGGCAAGCCAAACAGACTAAATGAAAAGAAGTGAAAAATCCCATTTGCCCGTTGCTGGAAAGGCAGCAAAAATTTAGTATTGCTTTATAGTATTTAAAGGTTGTCTGACCTTGCCTGCCCTTCTTCCCTGAGCATCCCCGTGGGCCTCATCTCTCCTGTTTACCAAAGGAACGCGCTGACTTCCTGGTGCCTTTCAGGAGTGAAAAACCCAGCTGTTAATGATGCCTGAGATTAAGTGGAAGCCAATTTTTATGGAGTTCAGGTTTAGAAATTTCTTGCTGCGTTATAAACTTCACAGGCATGAAGTATTTCAAGATTGAGTTTTCATTCATTTCCAGTGAAGGGGAAATAAGTATCTTGGGACTGCACAGGAGGAGAAAGAGGAGAGTAGGAGTCATGGATGTTTTCAGTTTTCAAGTCAATGTTTTTCTGGCTACCTCTTTCAAATGATTCCTAATGCCTTTTAACCCAGATTTGGATTATGTTTCCTCTCCCCGAGGTTGTCCTGCAAAGGTAGGTGCAGATATGGCAAACATCCCGAGTGCGTAAACCAAGGTGTCAGGTTCACAAGGCTTTGTCTGAAGGGCAGTACTGCCACGTTTCACCTGCGCCCAGGCAGTGAGGAAAATGGCAGCAGGAGAAGAGGAAACACACGGCTTTTCCCACCTTTACTCCTGGCTACTCTTGATTATTCCCTTAGATGTTTTTCTCAGCTCTTCTAGGTGTAACTGATTCCTACCTCAAGAAAGAGGTGTGCATTCATTTTGATAAACAGCAAGCAGATTTGCAGTAGACAACAACAACGTTGTACTGCAGATGAATTTAGCAAGGTTATGCTTTGGGAAACGGTCTAAAATAAACAAGGTATCCGTCTGCTGGTATGAACGCTTCTGTTTGTGGAAGTTAAGAAAGGCAAGCCTTCAATTTTGTGGCTGGTTCACTGCTTCCCAGAAGGATGGGGTGGCAAAGGGGACCAGAGCTGTAAAATTTATTCCCCTCTCTTTTTTTCTCCTCCTTCCAGACTGTAATGGCTTAAGCGTAGCTTTCTCTGCACTGCAGCCTAGGACACAGCTTTCCTCTCCCGTGTGAGGCAGTGGCTGCTGGGTGGCACTGCCGTGGCAGTGACTGGAACGGGCTGGAATTCAGTGGGGCATCCAATCGGTTCCTGTCAGACGTGCACAGTTTTGTTGGACTTGATGTGGGGCACTTCAGAAAGCTTTTCAAGGGCACTGAGATGTTAGATGGGAAGACAATTTTATCACAGGTTATATTATAATATTCCAGACAAACATTCTGGGTGAAAAAGGCACGGGAGACAAAGTTTCTGAGGGAGGCAATGTACCCTTGCAAAGACCACAGTGGGTGGGTAATTCCTGTAACTCAATGCATTATGTCCTACTCAGCATTTAGAGTTTAATTAGGGACAATATATTATAGTCAAAGTAATTAAAGTTTTGCCTTGATTAAAAATGGAGTTGGTTAGTTAAAAGGAAAGGTGTGGCGAACCTTAGCTTTGCGCCCAAGTAAGACAAACTTTGTGCCTGTGTCAGCTGATCTTCTGTATCGTCCCCCTTCAGGACTGAAAGTTCGAGAGGTGTTCATCAACGTGACCAGACAGCAGGTGGAGGATTTCCATGGGCCAGAGGATTACTGGTGCCAGTGTGTTGCATGGAGCCATCTGGGGACCTCGAAGAGCAGGAAGGCATCCGTCCGCATAGCCTGTGAGTACAGGAAACGTTCTGCTCCTCTAGGTTTTGTAAGGCATGGAAGCACACTGTTCTGTTAGGGTTAAATGTAAATGGATGCTGGTACGGTACTGCTGTCTTTGCAAGCCCTCCCTGTGAGATACTGTAGGAATATCATAGAAGGCATGGGGTTTTTTTCAGAACTCTCTTATTTTAATGTGGATTGATTGATTTGCATTTACACTCAGCAAGTCTGTTTCAGAGACACACGCTGTCACAGCAATACAATGTAATTAAAAAGGTTAATGCAAATCGAAAACCCCTGAAAAGTGCCCTTTTGCTCCGTGTTGATCACAGGGATCTAAAAAAGTGTGAAAGACCCTGTAACAGTGTCTGTCTTCTAAACCTTGTATAAAAAACATGCAAGAATGTCCCCGGATAGGAAGTGTTCAGTTTATCTGTGTTCTCCATATCTGGAGTAGTGTGGTGTGGTGCTATAACTCAAAATCAACAGATCATTATTTGAAGGACACAAAAAGTGGAAAATGCAATAAATGCCGTCATGGCAAGAGAGACATAAAAAGGGCAGAGCCCAAATACAATTGTTACTATGAGGCTGTGGAGATACTCAAAGCCTCATCCAGTTTTACTTTGCAATTAGATCTGCTACGTTGTTCTAACAGAATCAGAGCCTGAGACCATCCTTCTGCAGCAGTGCTGCTCGCAGAGAATTCAGGAAATTACTGTTCCCCAGTCTGCTGTGAAGCCTTTTCCTTTAAATCACCAGTTCAGGTCTTTAAAGGCATGGTCTCAGGAAATGATGGCAACAAGGTGCAGAGCTGGGAGAAATGCTTCTTGGAAGGAGAGGAGGGGCAGGAGGAAGGGGCTGGGGAGGCTCAAGCAAGAAGCTCTGAACAGTAACTATCAGGTAGTGTCCTAGCAATTCTTGATAAATCTTCTTTTCTAAAATTACGGTCTTCCAACAGCGTAATTTAAAATAAACATTTGAGATAAGTAATAGGACAATCTAACAACTCCTTGATTTTATAAACAAGAGATTTTTTTGTTGGCTGATTTAGTTTGAATGTGTAAATATGTGTAAATTCAATTTCTTTTACTTTACTGCATTAACTGTCATAACATTGAATGAGCTAATAATTCCCCTGTATTGCTAAGCTGCAAAGGACTATTATTCTGAATTGAATTTTTATTGACTTTTCTCTGCATTGTGATTTCCCAGCCCCATAATATGGCAGTATGAGTAAAAATCAGATTGGGCAGAAGCAGGTGGAGCCGTGTGCTGGGACTCTTAAAGCCATCACTGTGGTGCCAGTTCTGCAAACCACATCCCCAGCTGCATCCATAGCTGCAGATATCGAATTAACCTCGCAGGCCCTCCAGAGAGTGTTCTTCAGTTCTGCTTTATGGAACGTGCTGAGTGCAGCTGAATGTTTCGCCTGAGAACCGTGTTCCTGTGCTGGCCGTTTGCAGCGCTGCTTTTACTTGAAGTCCTGGTTTTTGATGAAAAGAACAGTAATTCTTGATTGCGGTTGTGATGGGACTTGGTCGTGCTCCAGACAGAAGAACGGGTGCCTATAAACCGCCTCTGGTGAGCTTGCAGGGCTCACGCTGTCATGGGCTGGTGGTGAACAACCTGGCCCGTTAATCTGGAGCATGGATTTCTGATTTAGGGGACACGCTGTAGAGGAGTGGAGATGGGAACGTGTAGGTCCAATCTGTGGTAGCTTACAGAACCCATAGCTTTCCTGCAGCACCGGTCGTTGTGATGCATGGTGTGGTAGGGTCAACTTTTTTTTCTTCTTTCTTTCCTTTTTTCTTATTTTTGCACTTAAAGCCTAGAGATTCTCAGTTGAGTTGAGTCCACAGCATTACAGCACTTTATTTCTCTGAAAAAGCGGGTAAGTATTTCTTTATGATAACGTGGAACGCAGACAAAATGAGAAGATGGATCTTACTCCGTTTTTCGTCCTAATAAAGGCATTCGTAGGCACAACTGCATCTCGTTAATGAATGACTTTTTGAGTACTGGAAAAAATATTGGTTATCTCTATGAAAAAAATCAACATTAACAGAGAATCATAAAACAGAGAACACGTGCACTGTGTCCATCTTTCTCTAGTGAGCAGCTTGCTAAAATAAGTCTTAATGTATTTTATAAGATATATTAAAGTGTAACTGATTCAGAGCCTCTGCTGTTTAAGGGAGTGTATTTCATGAAGTGTAAGCAATGGAGAAAATTAAATCAATAAATCCACACTGTGGAATTTGAGACAGTTTGAAGAAAATGAGTATGTCTAGTGGAAACATCCTAACTCTCAAAGCACGTGTAGTAAGTAACGTTCTTTCCGTTTTGTTTTCCTTCCACAGCAAGCAAAACCTTACATATTCCTGGGCATATCTGGGTTAGGTCCGTGTCACTGGATACAGGTTTCCTTTGCGTCTGGTCTGGTTTACCCACACACTTGGGCACAGAAGTGCTGCTGCCACATCAGTGTGGCTCTGAGACATGTCCTGCTTTTTATCCTGAAGTATCGGCTTGGCCACAGTGCCTGAAATGAAGCGATCTTGTCATCAGCCAGTCCGGAATGTGAGGAGTTGCTCTCAGTCCTTGCCTTCCTTTCCCTGCAGCTTGCAGGATGTAGGTGATTTAAACATGTAGCTTAGAACATTTTATAAACTACCCTGGCCCTCATCTGAAGAAGTGCGTGCTAGGAATGTTATTGCCCATCTTGGATTCCTTCAGTTGGTTGTAAGAGCAGCCGAACAATTCACCCGTTTTGCAAGGGCAGGGGCTTGAGAGGTTGAATGCACAACTGGAACCACGGAGTTTGTGGGTTCTGATGCTGGTGGTCTCTGTACTCACTCACAGATAGTAAGGGTGGAGAGATGGAAACACAGCTAAGGATTACAGGATCTCTACCTCTTATCTGGGGAGCTCTGAGGAGCTCTCTGTTGTCCATTGATTTACACGCGCACCTAAGAGTACGGCAAAGCGGGATTGCTGCTCCCTTCTGCAGCCTACATAGCACTGTTTGGGGACGAGTGGCTTTTGGAGGTATAACGAATTATTGCATTAAACTCTGCAGATTTGCGGAAAAACTTTGAGCAAGACCCACAAGGGAAGGAGGTTCCCATCGAAGGGATGATCGTCCTCCACTGCCGACCACCCGAGGGAGTCCCTGCAGCTGAGGTGAGGCTTTGTGCAGTGGCACTGCTGGTGGCTGAAATTTAGGAATTATATCCAATGAAAACTGACATTTTAATTGTTTTCTGCACATAAAAATTGTGGAGTTGTCGATAAACCCTGATTTACTGCTGCTGATTGTAAAATTGTTACTGCTGCTAATAAAGCCTGTAAATCTTAACAGGTCGTATTTGCTTTGGACAATAAAATTGCACATAAAGGCTCAGGGTGCAAGGGTAATTCTATGCTCATGAAGGTAAACAGTTTACTGGAAATAATTCAGTGTCTTTAGAAACTGGGTACCAGATTCAAATAAGTAATGACCCTGGTCTGTGGCGGTAAGGTTGAGGTTATAAACTCTTCTGGTATTTCCAAGTTAAAATGACCTGCCGTGTGAAACATGTGGATGAGAAACAGTTGAGATAGGCAGGAAGTCTTGCTCAGTAATTGTTATGTGGGTGCTGAGAAATACAGGCGGCTTCAAAACCCAGTGCTGGCGCCAAATCCATGGTTCTGATCCAAGGATTTATTTCATTAGAGTGTAGATGAAGCCCTAGATGTAAACATAAGGCTTGAAATAACTACGGACAAAGCAGCTCATCTTCTGTCTCATTAGATGCAACAGATCTGCTAATTGTGGCAGTGCTGGGCTTTGTTTGGGTTGGGTTTGGTTTTGTTTTGGTTTGTTTTCAATCCACACTCTGCATGGACCTGGAAATGCAAACTGAAAACAAAACTGATAGGAGACTCCAGCCCCTTTTGTGGTACCATGCCCGTATCTGTCTGAATCCCTTGGGAAGATTTCGATTATTCCATCCAGTGCCGAGGTTCAGGAATGTTATTTTCCCAAAGAGCACACACTTCCTGTGCTTGCCATAGTCCCCAGTGCATCTAGCGATTTATTTCCGACAGCGGCTACGAGTGACTGATACAGACAAACCTCTAATCATGCAGTGCAGCTCAATAGGAGACAGACGCTTTACAACTGGAATGAGGTTTAGGTCCAGCTCGATTATTTATGGGAGCCTGGCCCATTATCAAGAATATAGATCTTCATCTCTGGAATTGCTTTTCTGCAGCATTAAAAGTAAATGTTCTTGATAGCTTAATCTGAAATATCCTGTGGAAAGCAGGGATATTTTTTAGTGATGGCACCATCATGGGTCCTGCAGAATTACCAGGAGTAAGAGCCTTTCTTTCCCTCTATTCCTTTCCCCATTTCTAGTCACTGCTCAAATATTCTCACCGCAGTGATCTTAGCCACTGCTGATGTCTCCTTGTTTAAAACTGAGTGAGTGGATCTCAGCAGCTCTTGGTAGGCAGAGGTACTTGTCACTAAATATATCAGTATTTTCCAGGCATATTTATGTCATTCTGTGCCATCAGTGGCCGCCCCTTGCTGTGCTTTTGTGCAGGAAAAGGTGTTTAACTGAGCAGCAGCATTAGGGGTCCACAGCTTTCATCACAGTGAGCGTCTTTGCCAGTGGTGCCTCTCAGTACTAATCTTTCCTTTTCTAATGTATTTTTCGGGTGGGACAGCAGGGATGACAGATCATACAGCAACCAAGACCAGACCTCACAGAGGGCTTCTTCAGAGACCATTCCTCTCAATCAAGTTTAGTTTTGTTGGGAGAAATTTCTGCTTCTGCCATCTGTTCAGAATGAGTAAGGCTTCCATATCTCATCACCAGGAGCAATGAAAATTCCCAGATTAGGTTTGCTTTTATGTGTTAATTTCCACTTAGGATAAGTTATAAAAGGACATATGAGAATATGGATTAATGGTTTGGATCCGTAGCTTAAATGTCTCTAAACCGTATATGGCTTAAAACTTGGCTTGTATAAATTAATTTACAAATAATGGAAGCTCATGTGACATTGTCAATGCTCCGCGTGCCCATACAATTGAGTTTTAGTAAATAGTCTTGAAGCTGAATAACGTATTAGTGAAAGCAAGCAATCAAGGAGCATTACAAATACAGAACAGCAGTGTTCTAATTCAGCTTTAATGTTGTACAGGCATGAATCAGGACCCCAAATCTGCTGAGGTACGCGCTGATTTTAATGCTGCTTTGAAATGCACTGGACTGTCTTGATGCATTTAGCAGCAAACTTCAGCTGCTTGTGTCTAGGCCTTAAGTAAAAGACATGTAAAGGAACATCTCTAAATCTGCATTAATTTTCCAAAAATTTGATTACGCTCTTCATGGAGCCCAAGTCCATCTCTTGGGCATGAAATCCTATTGAATGTGTCTGATTCTACCAATAATAAAACCTCATGTGCAACAGCAGTCAAGGAAACTGAGAAACCAAGGTACGGTCTATCATTTTACCCTGATGAATAGTTTAGACACCTTTAGCAAATTACCTATTTTAAATTCTGCATGGGCAGAACAGGAACCTACCTCTAAAAGCAGTAGTACCAACCACATCCAGCTCCTGGAGCTCTGCTCCTGCAATGCGCTGCAGGTCCAGGTCGGCTGTTCCGCTCACTCTGTACCCGCTCTGTATTCCTATTATTTTAAGTCCTCTTCTCGTGCATTCACGTGGCAAGCAAAGCAGAGCTGGCGAGCAGCTGTGCTTGCAGGCATCAGCACCCAACCCACATAAATTCAGGTTTTTATGAGTTAAACATCAAAATAAAAAAGAAAATCCAGCATTTAAGTAGAGCATCTGATAATCCCCTGCTGTGGCAAATGTTGATTTAAATCTAACAGAGTCTCTGCTGGCACAGGCTCGATGGGACCTGAGCCATTTCTTTCACTATTGATGCAGTGTTGGCCTAGGGAAGAGACAGTTCTGGCTTTCAGTCCCCACAACAGATTCTCCCCATAGATGTGTTTATTAATTGTGTGCAACAGAGGCCTCGTTTAGCTTGGAGTGTTTGCAGTGAGGAGTTGTTGTGCAGGGCAGGAATCTGCTGAAGTCTCTGGTGAATCCTTGTGTGCTGGTGGTTTTTGTTAGGCTGCCAGGATCTTGGGCCCGATTCTTGTATTGCTGGGGCTGTGTCAGTCCATGGGTAGCAGGGGAAGTGTTTCTGATTTTCCCTGGCATGACGAAAATAAGAGGAAAGGGAGGACTGAGTTCTCCTCTCAGAAAATGTGGAGTTGAATATTGAGTTTGACAGAGCCACATCTTTAGCCTTGCTTCTCATAATTATCTGCATCCCTTCACAAGACTAATCTTGTTCATTAGATCCAGCTTGTTGTTTTGGAAACATTTTGAATACATTTTTGAAGGGAAGAAGGGCTCCAGTCTATTAAAAAGAGATTTTTAGAAGCAGTGTATTTGACAGTGATGTAATACACGATGCATTTCTTCGAGCTGCGTTATCTGCTGTTTCTTTTGTTCACCCTCAGTACAAAGCCAGCTCGCTCTGGGGCCCCTGTGGGTGTAAAACAGCATTGGCGTGGTTCAGGCTGCAGGGCTGGGAAACTGAGGTGGGATTTTGCACTTGATGCCATGTGCAGTCTGGTCATAAGAGTTTTGGATGCTACCACATTATCTGAGATCTGCAACCCTTTGCACATAGGTTCACAGAGATGTTCAGAGGAGTTAAGCACATCTGGTCCCTAAGCCAGGCAGCCAGGACCCTCAGCCCCTTTGCACAACTCTCAGCTTTAAATCGATACACGAAGTGCAAAGCAGTGGAGATGCAAGCCGTGAGTTTCTAAATGGGTATTAAGCCCTCATCCTTGAGAAATACACGTTGTACTGCTATTTCCTAGGTATTGCAGTCCTGCCATTAACGTGATATAGTGCTGTTCATACCTATTACCTTGACTATATAAAGCAACTTTGGTAAGATTTCATATCCATAATGCTGGCAGCTTGGTAACCCTAATCATACCTTAGTGTTTTCCTGTACTGTTGCCAAAAGATATTTTTCTTTCTATTAATTTTAAGAACATATTGAGCGCTGGAGTCACTGCCTCTCAGCGACACAATCATTTACTTTCCAAGTGAAACAATGACGAATGCGGACAACTTGATTCTGTCATTTTATGCAGCTCTGTACCAGCTTGGGTGTAGCATCTGCAATCAATGTGAGCGATAGGTCCTGGTGGTTTGTGACAGTCAGCAAACGGAATAAATGATCACATCCTCTCTGGTTCACTGATGGTAACTCCTTCTTACCGTCTCGTCCTTGATAGTCATAATGGTGCACTCTGTGACTGTTGTCAAATCAATCTTGAACTGTAACCTGGAAGAAACCCAGTCAATATCCATTTAATTAAGTTTAGGATTATCTCTGTTCTGTATTTTCTACCTTAGTAGTGCTTCAGAGAGTAAAATATTAATTATTTTTGGTGCAGGAGCAAAAAGCATGCTTGCTTTTGTAGCTAGTGATCTTTTTAGTCAACTGGTTTTAAATTCCTGTCACTATTTTGGACAAGTGGTGTGGCGTGTTGGAGGCACATTACTGCTGAATCTTCCACCAGTGACAATAGGGGTCTTTTTTCAGGCTATCGTAGGTTGTTCCTGTTTAATTCAGTGGATTTGATAGTCAAGTTTTTAAATGTTTCCTTAATTGGACAGTGAGCATCCGTATTTTGCACTGAAATTACCATCGGGGGAGTTTCTGTCTCCTTCTTAAGACCTGGGTTTCATGTCTTCACTTGGTTTCACGTAGTAAGTCTGACATTTGAAGAGGGTGTGAAACTGATGCTCCTGTAGCACGGCAAACCTGCTGCTGGGATGGCGGTGGATTTCATACATCCTGTCATCTTTGGTAGTTGCTGTACATTTACACTCTT